AAAAGTGTTTTTTCCCGAAACGTCCGACGCCACTGTCCTGTGGCGAGGTTTTTATACAACACTTTGTGACTTCCTCACGTTCGTGGTCCTCTGACAGAGCCAAGAATTCCCTCTTCACTGTAAACCTCCACACACGGGGGTTTGAACACTGGGTCTTTCACTGTGTGGATCACTTCTTCATGCCAGGATTTGACCACAAAGTCTTTCACTTGATTAATTCAAAAGATATGGACAAATATTGCCACTAGTAAATATGTTTGTCTCCAGCGCTTTCACAGCGATCGCAGAAATCTTGACTTGCTAAACCTGTGAAAAGAGATAGAGAGCAGCTTCAGTATGAGTAGAATCATCTCTTTAAAAACAAACTCGATAGAAACTCAAAATTAAATGACTTCGAAAGAAAGAGCGTTTTTGTTTCCGTTACGTCCATAAAACAATTAATTTCCTCAATTTTCACAATTTGCCACGGTCTTGGTTTACGCTGGACTTCAGTATGAGTAGAGATTGTCACTTTGACTCTATAGTAGCGTTACACTCAGTTACATTCAGAACGTGACAATATTTTTACCCCTCCCCCCCCCCAAAAAAAAAAAAAAAAAAAAAACACATTCGTTTCCAATTCGACAGGTATATGTTTATGTTTTTACAATATCCACAACTTCACAACAGTCCGATGTCCTAAAGTGAAAGACTTTCTCATGAGTAGAAAATATCACTGAGCTTAAAAATGTCTTTCATTCGGTAAGAAAGAGATGACAATAATGAAAAGTAGGCAATTTTGTTTATTATACACCTAAATATAATGTTTGGGCAAGTTAATAGGCTCTAAGGATACTAGATCTAAAGAGCTACGTGTCATCTTCCAGGTAAATACCTTTTCCATTAGTCATACTATGTCCAAAGAACACATTTTACTGAAGTATATTTTACTATAATAATACTTATTATTGTGATAAACAGAACTCTAAGAAATAACAAATATCGTTTAGGCTTTGAGAACTAAATATAAATACTCACATGCGTCTCCAAAGATCGTGGCAATCAGAGCATATTCAGATTAGTTTTTCTTATAGCCTTATAAAATGTCGTTTTAAAAACAATTATTACGTTCAGATGTACGTTTTTCACGCTGTCACTGATGATGATACTACTACTACTACTACTACTACTACTACTACTACTACTACTACTACTACTACTACTACTACTACTACTACTACTACTACTACTACTACTACTTC